ATTCCTGCAGACTGCTGCTCCCCTAATTCAGAGCTCTATGTTCCTCGTATAAAAGGAGGATATATAACTACATAATTCGAGGAAAAAGCCTTGATTAAGTACGAATGAACAGCGAGAACATTATTAAAGGGGATATGATTTTAAGATCAGTTACAATTGGTTCTTGGAATAATTCTCTTTTTAAATGTATTAATAAAGTGTATCTCCTCTTAGAGAAACAAAATCTAACACTGTCATGAGTAACGTTGTAAAGGAAGAGGCTGTAGGCAATATTTATTTTCAGAATTAGCTTTGTGTGAATAAGTCTTGGATGAAATCTTTCACACACCAAGATCAATGACAGGATCTTTGCTGACTTCAGTAGGGTTGGGATTCTGTCTCCCATATGAATTTCTACATATGGGTTTTTAGTACAGAAATGTCCAAGGTAGACTACTACTGTTTAAAGATGGCATTTTTGTGTCTCAGCCACAGTCTTCATCTGACTTATGGAGAGAATTCTTTCCTCTACCAATCTACGTACACTCATTTGCCTAACAGTATTTTCCTTAAGGAAGAAAAACACATGTGATATTCACATTATGGCTCTGGAACCAATTGCTCTTAAATGCGAGGGAGAAGCTCAAGGCATTCAGCTATGCAGAAGTTAGCAGAGCAGATGAGAAAGTTAAAGCCTTTCAAGGTCATACTTAAATATTTACCTGCCTCTTCTCTTCCCAGCTAAGCTTACTCTTGCTGAGTGTGTATGACAGTTTAGTTAGGGCTGCCTCTGGTGTCATATCACCTCCAGGAATTACTCCAACATCAGCGAGAGTCTGAATAAAAAGGAATAATGATTCCAATTAGCATAGCATTCAGAAATACCTGCGTGAACAGAAAATGTGTATGAATGATGAGTAGCTACACAGAATACAGTATGCAGCCATGCCTCCACTCTCTTGCTCCTCCTACTGCCACTGTAATTTTTGTAATTTTAGTTATTAAATATGAAGCAAATACCAGAGCCAGCTGAATAAAGATGACTTTTGCTTTAAATTCCTTTTCAGGCAGTAACATTGAAGAATTCACCCAAACGCTTGCCACGGTCACTTACTATGCTAAAAGGGAAAGGTTACAGGTCCATATCAGCTATCTGCAGAGTTGTCAGATTCCCTTTATTGAAAAGCTGCAGTTACTCTGTTTTAACCCAGTGGCATTTTGAACATTGCCAAGTAGGCTGTTCTCACACAGACATATTTACCATTCTTTTATGGGGCATTGCTTTGGATGAATTCCAGCACTACAGTGTGCTCACAGCAGGAGTGTTTTCAGATCCTTTCAGACTGCGCTAGCAGTGTATGATTTAGAACATACAACTAAAATATGTAATTTACACAGTTCTGACAAGAACAACTGAAAAAGATGACCTTTCTAACTTATCTTTCTGAAAGTTAAAAAAAAAAATAAACTATCTGAACCACAGCAAAAAGCAGAAAGATTTTTTCTACCGTCAACAAGCCCCATAAGTCTACAGTGAGCAAGACAGCAAAGACAAAGGAGAATTCAGATCTCTTGTCACTAAATTGTACCTGGGCAAATACTCAGGCTTCTCTAAACCACAGATCATCATCACTGCCATAATGTGATACCTCACTGTTAAGCATCTTGCAGTAGGTTCTTTACACTGCATTTTACTTTTAAATACCTTCTATATAAACTTCAGCTTTGAAACTAGTTGTGGCTTAACTAATATTTCTAGCAAGATACAGAGCCTTAATCAGCTCATTAGCCACCTCCAAGAGTCCCAGACTAACATTTTTTAAAGTCCCATGGGAAAACATACATAGGGAAGGTGAGAATTACTTTCTGTACTGCAGAGCTAGCCAAAGAACAGTTAGGGCTTTTTCAGCAGGTTTGAGAAAGAGAAGGAGGAAGGGATTTTCCAGCTTCCTTCCTATACCTAAAGTTCCTTCAATTATAAGCTTCTACTGTGCAGATGGATCAAAGGCCAGACATTCAGTTAATTAAAACAAACACTTCAAGGGAAACCAGGGACTCAGCTGACCCACCAGGCTAGCTTGAATGAGTAAAATATTCATATAGCCACATGCAAAGACCTGTGAAAGATTTTACTTAAAGAAAAATCTAAGTAAAGTTAACATTTCCAGCATTCACCCATGAAACTTCCTCCATTGAACAGTTCCTTATGAAAAGACGACAATGAAAGAACAAGCATGAAGTAATTTTGTAGGACTTGGCTCTGTCACTGTTATCCTTAAAAGATGCCAAGAAAACAGCGCAGCCTCCATCAATGGATGCTGAAACAACATAATACATGCTCCATATAAAAAGTGGAAGCTAGAAGTGAACACATTTCCACGCAGCCTTACAGTGGTTCAGTAAGACCTGAGCAGAATCTTTCAATTCAGCATATCAAGTCTGGATCAGAGCGTAAAAAGCCATTTTAGAGGTGTGTACTTGGAGGCTCTTTTAACCAGAGTCCAGAAAAGTTTTTTTTTTTTTCTTCCCTCCATGCATTTTAGCAGTTTACATCAAGCAGAACATCATATAAAAGCCAGGCTTCATTTTCATGTTGTTTTTCAAATATAAGTTTGGTGTCTTTTATCGACTTAACTGCTTTCTTCCTTCTGTGTGAACTGTTTTATATAATCCATGTATTCCTATCATATCTGCTACAGAACACAGGATTTTTGCAAAAATTAATACTTCTCAAACATCTCCATTAAGTTATGTAAATGTTTTACCAACACGCAAATGACTGCCTGTATCAGAAAATATCAAGTTTGGATACTGAAGAGGTATAAAGAGACTCTTACAGTCTCTTTTCCTTTCTCCTCAAAACAGACTATGTGTTCTTGAACCAAATATAATCTAAAGCTGTGTCAAAACTAATGTTAGAAGAGGCAGGTTTCAGCACCAGACTGGAGTATCTAGGTTTGTCTTCCAGTCACTGGAGAGGCTGGCTCTGCCAGACAGGTGGTTGCTCTGAACAAAACCAGGTGTCTAAAACAGGAGGATGAGTCACCCTCTGGCAGTGCTTCTTGGCTATTTACTGGCTAGCCTTTTTATAAAGGCCAGTTAAACCAGCTTCCTTCACACTACCACATGCAACACATACTTTTATATGGCTTTGAGCTCTTATTAGTCCCAGTGATGTCATGTCTTAATACACAAACTCACTATAAAATGCCCTGAATATTAACAGCATCTACACAAAGTCTGCTTTAAGGTAGTCTTCATGGGTTAAACACAACTGATTTCCACTCTGCAAGACAGGCACTTCCTTACATACTGTTCTCCAGTCTCTCATTGAATTCAGTTGTACTTCCAGTCAAATAAAAACTGGGATTTGGAATATTGCTTGGACTTGCAGGCTTTCTTGATGTTCTTACGTTGTAGCTAAGTAACTGCTGGCCTATCAAATACTACTTTATTTGATCATCTGACCCCTAACCTAGCTTCTAACTCAGAGGAATGCCTTTGGGAGAGATACTACCAATCTAACGCCAGGTATCCTGGAGTGCTGCACACAACAAGAGCAAGCAATCGCTAGTTTGGGATTTGAGTTGACTGTTTCAACCATTCAGACCAGGAATAACAGGATCTTGTTTGCAGATACATATGTAAATGCTTCCAGCTCAAGATTTTTCAGATATCATTATTTTATGAGCAATATCTTTAAAGTTTTATTCACTGGGACTATTAGAAGCATACAGTCTAGCTGTACCAGTGGGATGTTTCTTTTACACAGTAGAGTCTGAAATCATTGCACAACCCTTACCTGCCCTGTTGCATAGACTGTTTTAACAGACCCTCGTAAGCACTGGGTACAGTTTAGAATCACTACTTTTCGTTCAGTTGCTTTCTTCAATTCTTCCAGCAAGTCTTCTCTGTTGTTTGGGGCATTGCCACTTCCATAAGTTTCAAGTACAATGCCCTCAATTGGAGGCTGAAGAAATGCTTTTACCTGTTTAAAACAAGACAGGGAAAAGAGACAAAAGAAGTGTTTAAGTCACATTAAGATTTTCATGTATGGCACAGAGTTTTTAAAAATGGTCTATTCCTGTTATAGTCTTAGAGGCTTTCATGCCTTCCAGTCTTCTTATGTCCTTCTGTGCTCCCCATTTGCAGTAACTGGGACTGTAGAATAAGCATTTAAAAAAATGAGAATTTCACTCTTTAGCTTCCTTTAAAATTCCTAGAGGGATAGATTTTAAAATAAACTGTTTTCTACAGTCATGACCTCAGTGTGAAAAAGAATGCTATTGTTCAAGTGCCACTAACAGGCTATACTGTTGCACCATGGTGGAACAAAAGGGTAGATTTACACTTATGAAATAAATGCAGAGTTATTAATTGAGATTAGAACCCCCACCCCTGCCTAGATTTGTTACTTTAGCAAAGAGTTTTGTTAACAGACGTCTGCTTAACTCAGAGATGTCTTGCCTTTCAGAAAAAACATTCTAATGAAGCCTGGAGTTTTTTTAACTCAAAACTCAGTTGATTTAATTCAAGGCAGAAAGAAAGGAAGCACTAGTTCATTCTGGGCCAGTTGTTAATGAGGTAGCTATTGTGGCTCACTGCAAGAGGATGCCTGGCAAAGTCCTCTTCCTCGAAAGATGTATTGTAAACAACCTAGACATTTCCTTGCTGATCACATATGCTAAACGCAATACACTGTTAGCCCCCATGAGGCTAACTATGTAGTTGGGAGTTTTATTGTAAATATACCACACCCTTGCTTTTCCATCTGTTCATATTCACCTAATAGTAATATAATTGAGGAGTACTGCTTAAACTACTGAATTCAATTTAAGATGGCAACAGCCACAAAAGACCTGTCAGTTTAATGGAACCAGTATTAGACAAAAATTTAAAGACAAATCTACCTAAAATCACAGTTCTGCAAAATAATTTCTAAAGGCAAAAAAATCCCACTTTTCATTTTCAGCTCTGTATGAATGCTGAGGATCATGTTAACCATCATTGTGCGACAAGATGAACCTTTTAAAAAAGAAGTGTGAGTTGTAGAAACAGTCACACTCCCCTCCACCCACTATACTGTGTATTCTTTGACAAGATATCTATTAATATGCCTCAGTATGCAGCAAGAGAGCACTTCCGTGGCCACTGCAGCCTGCACCTGTCTAGAAAAGCACACTTGACCTATTTATGAGCCCTGATAGGAAATTAATTTTAAGTTTCAGGGCCCAGGTAGTTTAGAGAAAAGATATCAGAAAAGCTTTTGTAAATAGTTTATGACATATGAAAATAGTCTTTGAATGCCCTGATATTCCAAAAAATGTTTATCAGAAGACAACAGATCCTTTCCCTCCCATCCAAAACCCCAACCACTGCTACAACAATGCAGTTCCTCTACTTCAGCTAACTAATCAAGTATTTGAGCATCACCTCACCCACTTCCAAAATGGTGACACTTACAGCAGCAGCAGTGATTCCTGGGAAGATTCGCAGAAGCCCAACATTCCTGTTCATATTGGTGTGAACTCGAAATTTCTTCTTGGTATTGGCTCTCCACACTGTTTCCCAGTTTACTGTTGAAGAGAAATGGTCTTTTTAATTTAACATTAAGACATAATGTTAAGTACCATTGTAGCACTTCATACTTAAAATACTGTCTTTAAAACTGTTTCTTATGTAGGCAATTCATAAAAGACGATGTATTTTTGAAAAGAGGAAATAAAGGCCCATTTAAGACAGCAGCCATAGCAGCTGATCTAACACACCTTATTTATCAGGAACCACAAAATGTGTCTTCAAGGCCACATCCAGGTGAGGCTCAACTGTGTTATATTTTAGCTTTAATTCCAGAATAGTCTAGATTCTGAGACATATCAGCATTACTCGTCAATATTTCTAAGTTAGTGCTCTTCAAGGAGATATTTCACATGTATACATCAATTTAATAGTATTTTATAGCAAAGACTTCCAAATGGGATATTTTAGTTCAATGCCCATTAGTGAACAGGATGATCTATCAGACACAAAGCTGTATACCTCATCAAAAGATAAGTCTGAGAGCTGTGAAAAGCATCTAAGTACTAGACCTGATGAGTTCACAATGTTGAACATGTCCTGTTAGCGCCAAGTCTCCCACCTCGGAAAGCCTCAACAAACAGAGCAGTGTGCAGGTCTAGCATAGGTGAGATATTTACTTGTCGCACACTGACCTGAACTTCACTGTTATGTAGTTGGCCTGACACCAGCCTGGATTCATGTTTAGAAAACAGACCTTCATCTTCCCAGACATGAGAGATGACAAATGCAGTTACTGTTGCCGCTAATCACCTCCAGAGTTTATTAGGTAGTTACTAACGATTAAATAAAATAGCAGGGATTCAATTAACTCTGACTGTACATTTAGAGCCAGAAGCCAGCTGTTTAACTAATAATTTGTTTGTGTTGCATTATTAGACGCCAAGTCATGCATTATTGATTTCAAAATTTCACTGCTTCAGTGTAGGAGCGCAGCACTGGTAGCACTGACGGCTCTTACAAGGCAGTGGAAGAGGTTTAACAAACAGCAGCCAACAGCTCAGAGCATCATGCTTCAGTGAAAGCAGACCATGCCATAAAGCTACCTGTTTCCCCATCATGACATAAGGTTTTTAGATTTGGGAGAAACTTTGCAAGCAGCAAGACAGATAAAAGATCTGTGTGCATAATACTGACTTGCTTTCAGCCATGCGGAGAGTTACTCACACCAATTACTGTTGCAATCTCTTGCAATCAGCAGACAGCCATTTGCAAGAAAATTCAGAGTACATCTAAAAAGCCTCCACTGAAGCCTGCTCTATTGCCCCATTACCAGAGATGGTAAAAACTACACAATCCATTACATCAGGACAGAAAACAGCAGTCACCTGTAAGACTTTACAAACTTTCCCTTCCTGTCGTGGTGTCTTGTAAGCAACTAGAGCCCCTGTATGTTCTTGCTAAAAAGATACCAGAAGTCATTAAACAGGTCACAAGCAGTTCGCATGGCATCATGTTTGGCCAACCAGCCACACTTCATCATGTGGATTCCTAATGCTCTGGGAATGGGAGAATAGAAACACAGACCGTTTCTACAGTTTCTTCTTGTGCTAAGCTGGCCAGCATGGTTCTGAAACCACCTGGCTGGATTTAATAGTTTGCCGAGTAGCTCTCAAAGGCCTCCATGAGCTTTCCAGAGCAAGTTAGAGACCTGTAGGACATACACAGGTGAGTGCAGAAAGCTGTGCATTTGTTCTGCTTGTGGTTCATAGGCCTGGCTAACCATGTTCACTCATGAGCACTGTGCTTTAAGAAGCTGCAGTATTTAGCAATAAATCCAATCATTTCAACCTTCTAACACATGGATTAATTCTTTAAAAGTAGCCTCTTCTATAAAAAGGAATGACAGTAAAATTGTATCAGAGCTTTCTTTCCTGTATCCTCCATAAGCTAGGAGCCCCTGCCAAAACTTCACAAATGCATACTATTAGCATCCCTAATACCTGTAATAAACTTGAAGAATGAACGGAGGAAACCTGCCTTGGCATGGATCACTAAGATATTGCCAAAAGTAGAAGACCAAGGAGAGAGATCAGAGGATAGGTTCAGACCTATACCAGGCCTGTACCTGTACTCTTGGAGTATGCTCTACCAAATAACATATCTTCAAGATAAATGTACTGCATGCAGACATAGTACAGTGATGTAATTCCAAACTATATTAAAAAAAGAATTAAAGATTGTCCCTGAGTTAACATTCCCTTGGTCATGAAGCTCATCAGCCTACATAAGGTGCTGGGTACTGCAGACTCCACAGATGTCAGTTCTCCATTAGACAAACAAGTCTAAAAGGCAGAACAAGAGGCAGGTGTGATGCGAGAGCCAGAGACAAATATGCATAAAAGCCCAACTTCACCTCAGATTTGTTCAGAACTGTTGAGAGCCAGAGTGCCATGCAGGGGGAAAATTTAGAACACACCCTTTGCATCCTCCATCTCCAAGATCATATTCACAAAAAGGAAAAATATTTATGTTGCATAGCTAAGTTCGAGCATCTTCATTGTACTGAATAAACCAGCTGTCTTACAGCCTATAGTCATACCACACTGCAATGTTCTTTTTGTTAATTTAAAAAAAAGTCTTCGGAATCACTAACAGTTCTTAAGTAAGAAACTCATATACAAGCAGATGAAGTACAGAAAGCTGTATATACCGGTGTTCATAACAGTTTTTTATATTATAAGAGTGACTAATTAGGGATATTGAGTTTTGGCACAACACAGAAAACAGTAACCCATTCTGACTCGGATGGCCTGTGCTTGTAAGGAGTTTAACTGATATAGTGTACTGCAGTATGTAAATATGAATACAAAGCTGAGGAACAAACGTAAGCTAGCTACTGGTCTTGCACAGCAGAAAAAGTTTTTAATGCAATGTACATAAAATAAAGAGGTAATGACTGTATCCAAAATGGCTTGGGATAAAAAAGATTGCATGATTCAAAAAGACTGCATACAAGATACTACGGCTTTTTGTTTATTCTTCCAAAAAAAACAACTGCATAAACAACACACTGCTATTTTCAATCTCCCCCTCCTTACAAAACACTACAGCTTTTAAAATGACCGCTCAAAAAAATACATCCTTATCTTATTCAGCTTTATTCACACGCACACACAAACACACACAGAACTATGGTGATAGGGTTAGTGTGGAATAAACATCAACCTGACTTAAAATAGAAAAGAGAAGCAGCTCTACACAGCCTAGAAAGTGGCAAAATCCCCCTTTTTTTTAAACAGCGCCTATGCCACAAAGCAGGTTTCAACTTATAATCGGAGAGCAGCAACTAAGAGCGACACCTCCCTTAGGAGTGGTGACTGAACTCCAAGTTATGAAATCAAACAAGAAATACAGCTTTTCGTGATTGCAGAGCTCCAGACAAACAGCAACGCTTTCTTCTCAACCTTCTCTGCAGGGCTGTGGGTGAGCGTTATATAAGCTGCCCCAGCGTTCATTACAATTCACGGTAGCAGCCAAGGGGTGGGGAGTGTGGGCCAACCTATGGGTGCAAATTCCTGAATGAGGCAAACAAACATAGACCCCCTTTTTTGGCAGTTTGTTAGAAAACAATCAACACACACCTTTTGAAATGAATATTTAAATTGAATGGTGTCCTGGCAAGAATCAACATGCCTACTTATAAGGAGGGGGACGACACCAAGAGCACTTCAATGAAGAGAGCTGGCATTTGCCTTAATGCATAAATGACTCCGGCTTTTTACTATAAATAACCAGAACTGCCAACCAAGACACAGACTTGGCCAGTGATGAATATGTTATCTCTAATGAGACTAGTGGGTAGATGAGCCCAAAAGGGCCTTCTAACCTTCTGCTGCACCACATCTACATGCACAGTCACACCGACTCTGTTCATCCCGTACACAAGTTATGTTTCTCATCATACAGTCCTGTACATGTGCACCACTCCCAGAAGTTACATGCATGTGTGATGAAGAAAGTCCAGACGTGGTAACAAAGCAAGTTTCGTATTTGCTTCATTAGGACAATCGAGAACAGAGTAAGCAGTTATGAAATATACTGAGACTCTTCACACATTTCCAGTGTTTCCTCTCCTGTTTTCAAAATATGGGAGAAATAAGGCAAGGTCTTTTGATAAGCTTTAAGATTTTAGAAATATTTTTCATTATTTCTGTATTGTTCATTTCATACAGAAATTTCTGATTCTGCTGCCAAAGTATTTCCCATCGGCATTGGGTTTCTTACTCAGGAGCAGGCTACAATTTTTCACTTCTTACAGAAGTTTCTTGGGCTAAATTAAAAGGAAGCTGACACACTTGCTTGTCTAAAGACTCTTAGGTGTTGCTAAGACAGTTAAGGATCTGGCCAAGAACACAGCCAGTTGATGAGATCAGAAATCCACTGGGAGCCTTACCTGAAGAGGGAACAGGGTGAAAAATGGTTATCAAAAATGAAGAAGAGAGCTGCAGCTAGTGTAGGGAAGGGAAAACAACTAAGCTTCCCCCTCTCCTCTCTGGCTCTGAAGTAGACAGTTGCTTTTATATGGTACGCCTAACCTCGAATAGCATGTCCTCTCCTCATTCCTGTGTACCAACCCATGATCCCATCAGGCTCCCCACTCCCTCCATCCTGTCACCTCTCTCCCTCTGCTCCTCTGGAATTTTCATTCCCAGCTTTGTTAGAACTGGGAAGCCTGAGAAGAGTTTCTGCACATGGCCTATGCCCCCTGGCATCGTCACGCTGCTCTCCATAATGCTGAAGCAGCAAGAGTCAGCCCTGTCTACAGTCAGCCCTGTCTACAGCAGGATTAAGACACACTATACAGTGTCATTTGGAAAAAAAAAAATTAAAAGTTGCTAGATTTGTTTAGTTTGTTTTTAAAAGCCCCAGGTGGTTCCTTGTCTCCATGAAAGCTTCATATGAGGATTGTACAAGCAAACTCAAGGGAGACAGCAATGTTTCAAACAATTACTTTGGACAAAGTAAAGCAACACTAGTAGATTGCCCATACTATAAACTATGTTTTTTCAAAATGAAACAATCCTTCAATACTGACACTGTCATCTTGGATAAATGATGCTACCCTAACTGGGTAATCAACTGAAACAAATAAAAATAGAGCCTATCACACCATCAGTTTTTAAATCAGAAATCCCCACTGATCTCAATGGGGCATTTTACTGAAAAGATAATGGGACCCAATATGGGACAAGGGAAGTACTTAAGACCTTTCTCATTTTTTTACCACAGACAAAGAATCACAAAACAGTTCATTCAAATCCGAGAGAGAAATAGCATGCAGTTTGCAGCTTGCTTTCATTATTGATCAGTCAGTAAACGGAATTCATTTATACCCCCTTTGATGCATTTCATAAAAATGCAAGAAAGAAGGTTTTCCCCAATTTACTGCAACAATCAACTGACAGCATTTCTGTTGATTTCAGATACACCATATTTGACACAGCATAGTAATACAGCAGTGGCAGACTCTCTATGTGAGCGATGTCTTACAGACCACTACAGTATTTCACAGGCTTCCTCGGTTTCTATCTGGCTGCTACAAACGAAGAACTTGGATCTTGAAACTTTAAGTAACTCCCACTCACTAGGTGGAAGGGATAGGTTTATTTTTCCAAATTGCAGAAATGTCTCTAGTAGTAGAAACCATTCAGAATGGCATGCTGCATGGCACAGGGCTAGATCTCCTCCTGCCACTAACAGCACCTAGCAAAAGAATTTGGGAACCCCCATCTATTCCTATTGTTTTGTAATAATGGAGATTGTCACCAAGTCCTACTCCCTTTTTAATATACCTAGCCTATCCAAAAGCAGCTCACATAACATGTTAGATTTTTTACAACTGTCCTTTATTATGTTTTTTTGGCAGCTCCTCATTTGGCTAGATTTTGGAATCATGTCTCTCTTCTCCCCTCTCCAAAGAAAGGATGCCATTCATCCAAGAACAGACATCAATGTGCTAATGACTTTGCAAATGGGTAGTGAAATCTTCATGTAGTTTTTCCCCACCCTAAAAAGCGGGCACATAGAAATCACAGGGAGCCTGAGTAAGCTTTGGGGAAAAAAAACTTCACACAGCACATACTCTAGGTCTGCTTTTTTCAGTGTGTTTGCAGTTTAGACATGTCCTAAATATCCAGTAAAACGTCTTACACAATGACATGCATCAAACAGAGAATCTGTTGAAGATGCAAGTACTCTGCAATGACTCTTTTGCCTGATTTCGGAGCCCAGCATGGTCATTAACGAGATTAAACTCCTTGTTCTTTCAGTCCTCACTCCCTCATTTTTATCTTCAGAGCAAGCATTTTCATGAAACAGAGGCAACATTCCCTCTGGTTAGTCTGAATCTTTAGTCAAAGTCAGTCTAGCTCACATCTATATTCAATAGATAAATGCTGTTGAGTCACAAATTCTCAGTCTTACTAATATTTAAACAATTTCAGAGCAGATAAAGTGCAGTCAAGCTACAGAGCTTTCAAAGATAATTTGAGTATAAAAACAGCATTTCAACTACATAAGCACAGATTCTTTTCAGCTAGAGTTCTATTGCATGTGGCATAAATTACAAGGCTTAAGAGATGATGTTGCTTACTTGTAATATCAACCTCAGCATTTGCAAGTGGAGGCAGGTTAGGTGAGGAAAAGGCATTGAAACTCCCAGCATCCACCTTAGTCACCCTATTTCCCCTGTACAGTTTATTATAAAAATAAAGGCACACCTGCAAGACAAGTAAAGAAACAGGTCTATGAATAAGCCAGTAATTAAAAGATTCAGTAGATAAATACTGCAGTCCATCCTTTATAAAGTGTTTTCTAAATCTTTAAAGCAACTCAGAGGCTAGTAGATGTTTACAACTCATAACCTTTCAAAAAGAGTTGGCACATTTGTCACACATTGGTTTAAGAATTTAAGAACAAAACAAGTTAAGAGCTAACTAGTTTCGTAATTCTCTCATGAGGCATAGTCTAGGAGACAGCAAATTTGCCTGAATCCACTTCAGCAATAGAGGAAAGAAACTCTGTGGACTTTTTAACAAGTTCATCAGTTATATCTAAATCCTGAGTCCAAAACCTTAACAAAAGGCCTGGTGAAAATGAGGGTAACTTTCAAAGGAGTTACCATACATAAATAATCAGGTTCCTTCTCAAGACCCTTGAAGTTTGTCAACTGGAATTTGAAGGAAAAGATATACGCTGAAGTTGTTACTAGTCATAAAGATCTTGGCCAGTCAGCTATTACTGTTGTCTCACAAGAACTGGCTTTGGGAGCATGGCAGAGGTGAAATGAGGGGTAACCCGACCAGTTTTCTGATTTTTGGGCTGCACAGCACCAACATATTCAAAGGCAGGGTGCTGAGACCATGGAGGTACTTCCACATCCATTACGCATATCATCCTCGATACTTCAGGAACTAGAGCTAGAAGACACTCCTAGAAGTTCCAGAGAAACTTTAGAACTTCAAAGTAACTTTCAATTAAAAAACTGACTTACAGGTGTTTCCCATCCCACAGATTCGCAAGGGAACCTCTAATTTCAAGTCTGCTGCAAGATACATTTCACATTTGATAGTCTTCATAGACTATACACCGGCAAAATGGGGTAGAACTCCTGAGAAAACAGCATGTGCTTTGCCATGCAAGTACTTGTTACCTCAGTGGAATCCATTTATCTTCCTGTATAAGTGCAATTCCTTACTGCCTACCAGATACTTTGAGTATATAAGTATGTGTCCTACTTAGAGGGAGAAAAGCAGCTTCCAAGATAGTCTTCACAGGCAAACAGACCTCAGGAATCACAAACTGCCCAGCAAAGAGCAGTGCCCCCAGAAGGTTGGCTCGGCCATCATTCTGCAACTCGTATATGGGCACCTGAAGAGCAGAGACTGAAATTACACCCTGTCCCTTACATAAAGCCTACACAGCAGAGAAAAAAAAGTCCAACGTATGCAATACAAATACATGAATAATTTAAGTAACAATGACTTATGACAAAAAGTTTCCTTCTTCATCCAAACTATTTTAGACAGCAGCAGATGGCAGGGTTTCCCCTCTGTGCTTAAAGGACTTTTATAATTTAAGTGCTTAAAAGCGAATATAGAAATGATTCTAGTGTGATTAAGCAGATTAAAAGACTGATTCAGGAAATATATAAAAAATAGAAAGCAGGCATAGTTAAGTGACTGAAAATGGGAGAAGTGATTGTACAGAGAAAAAGCAAGAGCCCCAGATCATACAGAACTGCCACTACAGGCTTCACAACAGCTCTCTTGCACCATCTTTCCTCATAGTATAGAAAAACTGAGGCAGCAGGTTATTACTGACAGAAAAGGACAAGATTAAAAACAGAAATCTGGTCTGCTGAGTGATGACTTCCATGCCTTTTCAGATTGCCTCTTTATTAACAGAGAGTCAGAGCTCCTTTCAGCAATGAAAAAAAAAAATCTCACGCTCCATTGCTAGATCATATGTCAGGCAGATCTCCAAGCAATAAAGCCAAAAAGAAAGTAAAACCTCGAATATGATGTATCACAACTAGACTGCCCCATGTCAAGACAGTAAGTGGGAGTCTACTCCTTCCTAGACTTTTGTATTTTGACTTCAAATAGACCACATGTGAAAGGGGAGTTATGAGATGGGGGAGGGGAACCTTAAAGTGTGATGTTTCATCTCCCTTTTGTGATTAGTGCTGTATTTTATGCTCAAGCAAGCTATTCTAGTAAGACAACCCCTCCCCCTCAGACAATATGCAAAGGGCTGATCTCCAGCTAAGAGAATGAAAATTAATAAGTGTGGTCTTCAGAGGAAAGGAAACAGACCATGTTAGATGCTTTGTGGAACAGAATGATCAAAAAATGCACCTAATGCTTACAGATGATTAAAAAATGATAAAGAATGCAACATGAGTAACGTAAGACAGGATAACAACTGATGAAGTAAAAAGTAATAAGCTTCGGGGCTGTAAAAGAAAAAAAGACAGTTAACAACCAGCAGCCACCTGAGGCTGGAAAGACGCTTCTCTTATAAACCGATTAATACACAATGGCCAATGACAGGCTCTTATATCTTTCTCTGAAGCATCTGGCCCCAGCCATAATGAACTACTGGTATGATTTGGTACAGAGTTGTAAAGTCATTAATGATAAAATTATGGGGCAGATCCTCAGCTCGTGAGCCCGTCAATTCTCACTAATTTCCATCGGCACTGTGACCATTCATCCTAGCCAGAGGCCTGTCCTGTACTACTAAACTGTACAGCGATAATCAGGATACTACCTAGTTTTGCACATAAAAAACAAAAATGAGGCTTCTGATTAACTTCAGATTAAGTCCATTACCTGAGATCCGGTCAGAACAACAGTTTTACCCAGGTTCTCACACATGAAGGATAAGGCTGAAGCTGTATAGGCCATGGTATCAGTGCCGTGAAGGATCACGAAACCATCATATTTTTCATAGTGCTCCTGGAGATGGAGAGACAGTTTTCGCATTGTTAGAGCAATGCAGTGGCATCAGCAAATGAGGTACATACTGCATTACTTTCACTGAAGCAAGCAACAGCATAATACTTTAAAGGGTACCACACACATAATTCCTCCTAAAGTTATCCTGTTTTCAGTTTAAATACAATTAAGGGTTAATAGGACACTAAGCACTAGAGCCAGTAATTCTAATTATGGAACAGTCAAAGAGATTCTTCTATGTATACATATTAATGCAGCATTTTTAAACCAGAAGACTGCTAATTAAGAAAAGCTTAGCAATGGCTTTAAACAGGAATGTTAACATATGCAAATTAGTCGTATAGTCTGATTTCTTGTTGCTGCTTTTACTTTAGGGATTACACCATTTACAGGAACAGATTAGGCAAACCAAGGCTATCATAACATATAGAAAAAACAGTCCATTTAATCCGGGTGGCAGACAGGCAAACTGCCAGTGTGAGAGTGCCCTCTTCTGTTGAAGAATCATGTTTTCTGTAGCAGCATGTGACAGCAGAGAGAGATGAAGAGGCTTCTTGTTCCTCAATGCACGTATGCCTCCTGGTTTTTGAGAAGTCCCTTAGACTATCAGGTACATACAGAAGCAAAAAGGAATTTTATAACAACTTTAATCTACGTACGATTCCACACAGGACTTTTTTTTCATGCAAAGCCATGAATTGCACAGTTCATCTTGTCAGAATAAAGTAATCTGCTGGCTTTTGGAGGAAAAAGGAATTGGTTCTTCTACTTTAAGAGTGATGCACATAATGAAGACTGTAGTGAGACACACTGATATCTCTGATGTAATTTGGTAACATGGAAAAGATTACACAGAAATCTAAGCAGATATATGAAGTGCCAGGGTGGGGAAAAAAGGGGGGGTGCCGTAGAATTAAACAATTTAATTAAATTTAATTACACTTCTTACACTACAGTAGGCACACATGCTTGGCATCTCCTGCTAATAAGGTCACCTCCAAACTCACCTGCAGATTTCTACTTGTGCTTTTGCTATTTCTTCACTGATACTCGTGCCTACATGTTGCTACCTACTGGAAGTTTCAGGAGATTTCTGCCTATCTCTAACGCAGAACAGCAGCCAGTGTTGCAAGATCTTTCTGTAGGCTAAACTATAGCGTGATGCAAAAAGCATGCTGTAGTTATTCACCCATGCAGTAACATGATAAGTAAGTTTCAAGAAGGGCTAAGATCACAGAAATAGCCACTTGTCCTCTCCAACTCAATCAGTACGCTCACGAATATTTTCAGCCTTCTGAACCTTATTAGATGTGAAAAATCATACCTTAGTTTAAGCTTCATAATGTAAGAGATCAGGCTGGCAATTAAGGAGTTATCCCACAGAAACACCTTAGAATGTTTCAGTCTGGAAAGTCATCAGCACCTTACAGCTGTGCCAAGTATATGCCCAAGATGAACACAATGTGGTAATGTCTATAGGTAAGCCGGACAGTTAAAGGTTTGGTTCCCCCCCCTTCTCAGCACTTTTCACTTGGGTTACACATACTGTATATTTGTACACACAGAGAAGCCTCATTCTGCATATGAGACAGAAGCATCTTCTGAGCTCAGGAGTTGTGATAAAACTAATGTGCCATTAAGGAAGAAAGGCAAGTTCTCTCCTTTTCAGCATGGCATTGCCTTCTTCGTGCTACTATACTCTTGGCCCTGGGCTTTTCCCAGCTGCATCCCTGCTCCATCCTACAGGCTGTCCACCTGTACGCCAGCGCCATCTCTTCTCTGCCCTGGCTAGATGCATTCCACAGGAGAAGCATCATCCCTAGTTTGGTGGCTTCAGAGGACCTAAAGGTGAAAGGCTGTTACCTGAATCTTCAGCATCATTCCCTGCATTATTATACTGTCTGCAGGCAGTGCTACAGCTTGGTTGAAGAAGAAAATTTACACTATAAAGTGTACTATCGCAAAGCGAGCAGGAGTGGAAGAGCAATATTTTACTAGGCCCATGGTTATTTATTTCTATCAGCTATGTATGCATTCCTAGTGTGAAGTATTTTAAATGTTTCGTGTTTCTACTTTCTTAAAAGCATACAGCTAAGTTCAGACTAGGGGACAGGAACAGAGAGATGCTGATTTTTAATCTACAGAAGGATGTAATGAATTTAGCTACATATGCAGAAATATCTAGGGCTTTAGACATTTCCCAGTGTGGGAAACCTAACCATGATAGCACTTTTTTTCCACTGGCTGCAAAGTCAGAGCTAGTCAAGTCAGTCTGTGTCCAGAGTAAGAAAGGCATAAAGATACGAAACTATTTTCTACGTCAATAGCCAACTATCAAGCTATTTGAACACTGAAATGATGTGTAACTAAGGAACCTTCAGTTAAGTCATTTACACCTAAGCATTTTATTCAACATTTTTGGACAGTCAATGCTTTAGAACATATCAACCTACATATTATATACCTTATTCAATCATAGCTGCAATTTTTCTATTTATTGTCTTTGACAGAATCATGACATGGCTTATCATTAGAAGAACTATATAACTTTAATGAGTTTGCAACATTTTCAAAAGGAAAAAAATCTTTGGCAAGTCTTGCAAGCACAGTACTTGTTACTTTGCAAGTAACTAAGCAAGGTACCCAACATTTTCTTTTCAAATAAACAAATATATCAGTATAGCACTACTGAACTGTTTTATCTTGCTAAGTATACTAAATATGCTGCTATTTTTGTTTAGTCACAAATTAAATCTTATCCCACACCATAGTACCTCAAGTTTCTTTGCAATTTTGGCCCAGTCCTCTGGTGTCATGTTGGAAGAATCAAGCAGCGGTGAGAGCTCCAGGATTGTGTAGAAAATTCTTTTGTTTTGCTTAGAGACACTATGAAGAAAGAGAATTGGGGAAAAAAAATTACTCCTAAATCACTCAAAAAAAATGGTCTTAAACTTGAAACATTAAGTTCCAAGTTTAGAAGTTCATGGCTTGATGTGGTTTAAAAGACAAATCCCTAAATTTAATTTAATAATAAATATAATTTGGGAGGCAGGGAAGGGATGGCAATACTAAAGACAGAAAAGAAGAACCCAGATTTACTTTGTGTAAGTCTGGAACTGAGTTCTAACAAGTCAGTACCAAGCCTTAAGATTTAAATACTCTTCATAAGCTATTGAGAGGAATCTATAAAGCTCCCAAGGTTTATAGGGGGTCAACAGAAGAGTTGCAACAACTTTTCAACCCTTTGATAAATATAGATACCCTATAAATAGATACTCTTCCCTGACACAAAGAGTATCTTCTCTTAAGGGTTTTATGACTGGTCTTAATTTTTGTGGCCTTTAGAAGACCACTGTCCTCAGTTTCTGTGAGCTCAGATTTCAGAAAAAGACTCTCTTGGTTAGTTAAAATCTTCAAGTAAACTGCCGCCCAGTGACCCAGTAAAAACAGTATTTCCTTTGCTAGTAATTTAACTTTGTAAAACCCCAGTCCCAGCCTATTGTAGTCACCTTGTTATGAAAGTTTGCTATATGGTACCAGCTGTTTCTCGTTACAATGCGGAGTTTAAGCATGTGATAATAGCAAAGATCTTAAAATACTGGCACAGGTTGAAAGCAGGGGCCCCAGAACTACAAACAACTCACTGGCGATCAATTATTGGCCACTGAACAAGCACAACCTTGACAGCTGGGAAAAAGACTACTCTAAGTACAATAAAAACAAGACAAAGGAACTATGCAAGGGAAAAAACAAAACAAAACTGGTCAAGCAATAGGATAAAGTACCTGTGGGGCTGAGGAACGTAACACTTCCAAACATCACGCAGTGTGTAGCCCAGTGGATGGAGACCAAAGATTAAGAACTGTTTAGACACTCAAACATCTGACAGAAGTACACAATCCCAAATTTGGAGGGGACTTATCAAAGGCAATTATGGCTATGAAACCACAGTGGGATTGTCCTAGCTCTAAGCATGCTGTTTGCTCTCCCTACTTCCAAGGGCCATGGGTCTCCCTTTCTCCACCTGCCTACCTCAGGAAATCTGACTCTAAGACCTTTGATTTGCCAGCCAAGTGGACTGCAAACAGAGCATGTGTTTTAGCCCACAAAAGATGCCCATTTCTCCACATTAACTTTCCAACCTTTCAACTGCATATAAATTCAACTTGGCAGTTAAGATCTGGGGTGATAAAAGAACCCTACTACTAATATTTTCTGCTACCTTTCTGAAGCTTAGAAGAGGATAGAATATCCATCATTTTCACCCATTCTCAATGTTAGCTGGAATATGTTCCTACTTATCAATGCAATGGCCAACAAGCAGGTAACAAAAGAACTGCTATCGGGCCAGCTCTGCACTTCCTACTTGCTCTTCCAAGCAGAGCTATCCTGGAGCATGTTTAACAGGATCATCTTCAGAGCGTTCTTAATGCTTTTCCACTGCCCGAGGATGATGAAAAGTTACCTGCCAGCTGTAACTGTGATAGGTACTTCAACATTTACACTGGTAGACAGACAAAGACTATAGAAAAGACCAGGATACTGCATGGATGCATAAAAGTTCCTGAAATAAGGTGCTTAGAGCACAGAAAAGTTGATTACCTTCTCTTGGAATTCACAGTAGTGTTTTGTTCCCTCTTGCTATTCTTGTATATATTTATAGCAATATAAAATATGCAAAACCAAGAGTCAATTATCAATTCATCAGCTAATAAAATCTGCAGACCCGCTACCCTTGAGGCCTGCAAGACAGCTGCGTACAGCAGAGAGAGCATTTAAACAATGTGTATTTTTCGTTCATAACCAACTGACAAACTGTACCTAAGAAGTTAAGACTTCATATGAAAAATTGCTTTGTTGGATATCACATTTACACTTGCTAAGAGTAACTTTGGAAGTCAGTTGAGAATCTGTGACAAGCAAGCTCCCCTGAGGATGTGCTGTTTAAATAAAACATGACATACCGACACCAGAGACCAGCCTAGTTTATGACGTTCGATGCCTCTCTCTAAGAAGAGATCATATCGTTCCTCTTGGATCAAGGTTATCACACAGATATACAAAGTTCACAACATACTCCTATTTTCTCCCCTCAGAAACTCACAATATTTCTCAGCGGCCTAGTTAAAATATCACTCGGCTAGCACAAAAGACAAAGTGGCAAATTGCCATGACCAACCTCCAGAAACAGCGTTCAAGCAGTGCGAGAAAAGCAAGACAAGATTGTTTTTTAAACCTCAGCTTTTGATGTTAATGATTGTTTTAAGCTTTTCTGTTCTTCATGGAAAAGATATGCCAGGAGAAGTATACTTAAGATTCAAATGGGTATATTAACGTAGTTGTTATATTTGAAATTCCTTAAAGTATTTAAAAGTTACTTGGTTACAAGCACAGTATCATAACAGAGCTCCATTTTCCTATAACTATCATATTTAACACAAATTGTATGTTCACATCAATACTACCCCACTGGGAGTCCATTTCTTTTCCTTTTACCCCTTTTCCTGCCATCTGCCTTTTAAGTGGTTACTTTTAAAAGATTTCCACAGAGACCTCAATACAAAATAGAAAGAAATTAATAAACCTTACATTTTCTTTGTGTGTCCTGATTTTCTCCTAAAAGATTCCTGATATTAAAGAATATAAATTTTTACTCTTATAGCAAAACAGCTATAGTCCCATTTATTTTTGAATGACTGTATAAAATCACCCTTTGTGCAAAGTTAACATGTTTACAGGGGTACAGTCATTCATCACAGCTGGGGGGTATCTCAAATTAGCATACTGCCCTCTAAATAAAACCTATAAGCTTATTAATCATTGCCCAACAGTTAAGAAGCAATGCAGATTAATTGTAAGCCCATCGCTTATTATCATAAAGTTGCATACATTTGGGAAAGACAATCAGCTTTTGGGATTTTTTTAAAAACGGGCAGCCTGCAGAATTAAAGCATGAGGCCTATTCACGGATACATTAATTAGCTGCTACTTTTTCAGACATATGCCAAAGATAATTCACAGAGAGCTGTATATATAGTTTTCTTAACTTCTATAGAAAATTTGTATGTTTGCACAAAATAGCAAATTAATGTCCAAAACCAGAAAAAAATGCAGGACTAAGCTGAATGGTTACTTGTTGCCTAATTTAAAAGTTACTTCCCAAGCAGTTGCAAGATGCTTCATTACAAATACATCAAAACAGACATTTTCTGTAGTGCCAGACATGGTAGGCTTTTTCCTTTTAAGTCAATATAAGCATTTTTGCTAATCTTATAATGGATTCTTCACATAAAATGTTCAGAGATGTAATTATCTGAAAATTAACAAGAAAATTCCTAACCCTCCCTCTCCCCAAGGAAAACGTACTTACGGGAGCACCAATGTGTTATCTGGAAATTCATGGAAGTTGTTCAGTTTTGTTTCCTGGGCATATGCCTCATCATGCAGCATCGGCATTGTTTTCAAGCTGCTTACTAATTTATTGGCCTCAGGAGCAAGTCCTTAAAAATAAAGAATAAAGGAAGTAAATAAAGGAGCAGGGATGGAAGGAAGTGAGTGGCACAGTTAGAGAGGGAAGAAGTCAAGTTACACAGCTGTTTGCCCATTCTTCCAAATTAAGTTTGAACAGCCTATTGCCAGTTTAAGAACATAAAACCAAAATATAACCAATAAATCTCCGTGCAGTTATTTTTTTCTTGACTTGAAACAAATAAATCCTTTATTTAAGAGAAATAATGTTATAAATCTCCCCCATATCAAATATTTATGTTTTAACAATTTTTAATTGTTGCTTGTGTGCAAATCCTGATCAGGAGAGGGGGCAGGAAGCCAATTTCTGCAACTGTAGCAAAAAAGCTACCCTTCTCTTTTACATTTGCCATAGCTATTCTCTACCTAGTGGCAGAAGATTTACAAAACACTGAGCATTATGTTCTACTATGAAGCTGTGATATTTTTACATAAGCTTTTTGGCCTACAGCAGTATTGGCACAAACAGCAAGGTACTAGTATAACTATGTTGGAAAGCTGCCATGTTACGTCACACTGTCAATGGTAATAGCATTTCCACAGAGAAAAAAATAAAGCTAAAACAAATCCCACAGCAGGTATTGAGCCCTGACAGATACAGACAAAGATCTCTATATACACAAAAGCAGAGAAACCTCAGCTTCCAAGAAGTCTTAAATGCTAATGCTCTAATCACTCTCTCTTGAATAGGTACATTCCACCAGCAGGTTTAGGACTGAAGGTCCCAATTGACAAGAGGTAGAGAAAGTGCATAAGCTGCTGAATAGAAAAAGTCAAAAGCACAAATGCACCTTAAGCTCTATTCCCCCTCTCCCTGCTCGTGATGATGGCTTTCTCTCTGTGGCAGGGGCCCTAAAGCAGTTAAGGCTTAAACTAGCCCAAGTACATTCAGTGTTTGCTGGATCTGCAGCTGTCCTGGTTGCAACCAGGTATTTCGACGGGAATCCATGTGCCATTCTCTGTTAGCCAGAAAGGCACCTAAATTTTTGATGTGACAAACCTCAGCATCATAGAACTGAGTTCCTTTGTGAATTTAACTTGCAACTCATCTCCCAATGCCTTGTGTCAGGAAGGACAGCAACAGTCCTGGAGTCCAGTCAGAAGCCACTCTGTTTTTCTTAAGTCTGACTTCTCGAGACATTTTTTGTTCAAAATGTCAGAAGTACCTCCTTCTGGACTTCAAGATTCTACTGGTGTTGCTGTCCAGTTTAGCCTCAGTGAGTGAGTTTTATACCACCTGTTCAGATGGCAAACTCTCAAACCTCATTATTCTACTTCTGCTAGTTCTAGTTACTCTTCATTTAATGCCAGGTAATTCTCTCCCACTTCCTAGTTTTTCTGTTTAAACACGATTCTCATGAAAGTTAGCATCAGTATTTTTTTTTTTTGTTTCATCTTCAAACAGAAAAGTTTACTTAAATACCCCAAAACAGAGAGAGCATTTTCAATAATATTTCTATCTTTTTGCATTTACTTTCCAAACTGATGGAAAAACCCTTAAGAACTCCCTAATCTCCCTCCTGATGAATGAAGTAGCAAGCCCCTTCACAGCCAACTTTCCCACAGGACAGCACCAGCATTTGAGTGGATTTGTTTGTGTGGTGGAAGCATGCCAGGCCCATAACCTGGAGCACAATAGATCAAAACCAACCCCTGCTACCATCAGTTCATCACACGCTGTCTCTGCTGCTCCTTCCTCCTCAGGGGAGGACTCCTCACCCTCTGCCCTGCTCCAGCCTGGGGTCCCTCCCACAGGAGACAGTCCTCCATGGACTTCTCCAGCGTGAGTCCTTCCCACGGGCTGCAGTTCTTCACGAACTGCTCCAGCCTGGGCCCCCTGGGGTCACAAGTCCTGTCAGCAAACCTGCTCCAGCCAGGGCTCCTCTCTCTCCCCACGGGGCCACAGGCCCTGCCAGAAGCCAGCTCCAGCATGCGCTGCCCACAGGGTCACGGCCTCCGCCCCCCCGGGGGGGTCCAAGGGCCGCGGGGCCCCAGCCGCCTCCCCGGGGGCTTCCCCAGGGGCTGCCGGGGACCCTCTGCTCCAGCGCCTGGAGCCCTCCTGCCCCTCCTGCTGCTCTGACCTGGGGTCTGCAGGGCTGTTCCTCACATAATCTCACTCCTCTCTCTTGCTGCAGTCGCCACAGTTTTTTTTCCCCCCTGCTTAAATATGTTACCCAGAGGCGCTGCCACCATCACTGATGGGCTCGGCCTTGGCCAGCAGTGGGTCCCTCTTGGAGCCACTGGCACTTGCTCCATCGGG